AAAACAAACAAAAAAACCAACCAACCAAATAAACAAACAAAAACTTCGGGTTATCACCCTGGCACTAAAAAAGTGGGTACTTTGAGTGCCCAGGAGGTCCCTCACAACCATGATAAGACAAGCTGGTATGGGGTGTGGGATGGCTGAGAGGTAGGGGCATACAGAAAGTCATTTTTATTCCTAACAGAAACCAGGAGAAAGCACACATGTTGGCCAAAGAGCTAGGCTTTATCTATCAGGTGCCCACACTTCAGGTCAGCTGTTCTCACCTGTCACATGACAAGGGAGTACAGGAGGCTGGCAGTGGCTGTGAGCCAGCATAAGATACGTTTAAGATGATGGGAGGCTACGCTTAATATTGCCCCTGGGTATTTTGCTGGTAAATATTGCATTTCAGAAATCTGTTTATATCAACTCATTAAAAAATTAATTTGCCCGCATAAGTAAACATGGCTGAGAGATAGTGGACGTGTTTGTGTGGAGTTAATTGGAGCAAGTGGCATGTCCACTCTCAGGCCACAGCGATAGGTCGCTGTCCTTTGCTCCTCTCACCAGGCTTGTAACAAAAGAACTTTTTTGTGTGCATTGTTGGAAGGAGGCACGGCCATCCTTCATGGAGAGGAAGGTGGCAGCCCACTAAGTTTTCTTGTTGAGTGAAATTGCTCTAGGATATAAACAGGAAATTGGGTTTAATATTTCCGGAAAATGCCAGTCTCCCTCCTGCTTGTTGAGATCTACTCTCTAAAATCAAATGCAATTTCTAAAATCATGGCTTTTCTTTTCCAAGACCCATTAGAGATGTTGGAGGGAAAATAGGAAAACACTGTTCATTGTCATCAAATAATTCTCTCCTCCCGGTGGATCTGAAGGAGAGAAATATGATTTTCCCCTAACTGCGGGTTGCTTTGGTTTTCAGCAACATTAGAAGTGGCTTTGAATATTTAATCAGCGCAGTTGGCACAGCATTGAACACCCAGTGGGTGCTAAATAAATGATTCTCGATTGTTTGCACAAGTGGGGGCAAGTGAATGATGTAGATGAATGTGCCAATATTGTCCCTATTCCTGTTGTAATCCCCCTCCCCACAGCCCCTGTTTTGCCACTTCCCAAACATCAAATTATCGTGATTTCCAGACACTCCAAAAGGAGTAGGGGGACGTTTCTGTTCACAATGGAGAAAGTGGTGTATAAAGCCACCCTTTTGTTGCTGACTTTTCCTGGGAAGACACAAACAGATGTGAATTCACCTCACATGATGACAGAACAAAGAAACGACTCCACCCAAATCTAGCTTGGAACCAGTGAGTTTATTTGGGTTACTTACAGCAGCATGTTACTTACAGGAATATGGGTCACTCAAAAGCAGCCACATTATGAAATTGCCACCTGGTGTGACTGGTGACTCCCTCCTTCCAGCTCCTTGCACTCTCCTCTGGAGAGTCTCCTTCCCTTGCCAAGCAGTTGCTTATTACTTATATAACTCTGGGGACCAGACTGTGAGTCTTGTGACAACTTGTGGAGTCTTGAGAAGCCTCAGGAACACCCCCACAAGGGAGTGTTCCAACTAGGAGGAAATACCTATATAAAATCTCTCATTTTCCTACTGTTGTAATTTTAAAAGGCAGCCCTTGAGAGAAATATGTCATACAACAGAACTTGGGTGAAAGGGTTGTGTTGGGATTAAAGTGAATGGGGAAAAGAGGGGAGAATAAAGGAGAGACCAGCCTCTGGGTACAGGAATGGCAGAAGAGAAGAGAGAGGTGTGTCGGGGGAGAGGGGAGAAAGGAGAGACAGATAGACAGAGAGACAGACAGAGAAGCAGGGGGTGGGGAGATGGGTGGTGGGTAGGGCCCTTTTAAAAGGGAAAGTAATGAATGCGCATGGATGGTACTCTTAGTGGTTGCAGATGAAGGCATAGCCTGTCAGAACCCCAAGAACAGGCCAGTACAGATGCTTGAATACTAATATCTATATCTACTGAGCAAATGCCTTAGTTTCTCTTCTCATTTCTATGATGAAATATGCTAACAAAAGGATTTATTCTGAGTCATATCTCAAGAGTGTAATTCATGGTGGTAGGGAGTCATGTGTCAGGGTCTTGAAACAGTTTGGTCACATTAATTCACACTGGGAAAGCCGAGATCAATTCTGGCTGCTGCTCAGCTCCCTTTCTCCTGTACAGTCTAGAATCCCAGCTCAGGAATGGTGCCACCCAGAGTGGACAAGTCTTTCCATCATCTCAGTGAACACAATCAAGATAATCCCCACAGGCATCTGTTTCTGTTAAAGGATACTCCTGCAGTCAGCCCTTGTGCCAGGAGGAAAACTTCAGATCCCACAAGATGAGGGAAGCACTCGCAAAGCACTTGTAGATAAAGTGTCACTTCCCTCCGAAAGGGAGACTTGGTTATGCATTCAGAACTCCATAGTCATCTGTTTTTATTGTTGCCTAATGCCTTTTAGATCAGCATACGCCTTGCAGGAAATCAACGCTGTAAGCTGCATAATTAGACTGCCTTTCATGGCCATAAATGGTAATCCCACCGGAGGGCAGATTAAGAATTCACAAGCATGAATTTCTGGCACCAGGTACCCACAGTTCCCTTTCTTTTTGAATAATTCATTTTTTAAATACTTCGATGCATGTTCTATGCAACCCTGTATATCACATCCAGGTTCTGGAGAGTAAGAGCCTCATTGCCCATGTGTTTCCACTGGAAGCATATTGAAGGCTCATTGCTGTGGTTGGGTGTCATGGAATAGCAATGGGCACCAATGTCTGTTTCAGGTAGTCACTTTAGGGGCCAATTTAGGGAGTTTCAATAGGACCTTCTACAGTACATTGGCCAAGCAGAGGTCTAACTGTCATAAGGAAAAGAAGAAAAGGAGGTGCTGGGGAGATGGCTCAGTGGGTTAAATACTTGGCATACAATCATGGGGACCAGAGTTCAAATTCCAAGGACCCATGTAAAGCCAGGTGTGGTGGTGCACATCTGTAATCCCAGCATAGTCAGGAGGAGGCTCCCTTTCCTGAAGAGACCCTGCCTCGGGTAGGTGGAGCTGCTCTCTGCTGATGTCTATCTGCAGTGGTCTGAACTGGTATACTCTTAAGTCTAAGGCTGCAGGGGACTGCTGGAGCAGAGGTGCCTCGTCCAAATCCATGTGCCTGTTAGGGCATCCACACAAACTCATCTCCCAGCTGTCCATCAGTGGTTGCTCCAGCCCTTGACTTCTCATCCACCTTCCTGCCCCTTCCTTCCATCCTGACTCCATTCACTGAGAAGTTGGATCTGACAACCCTAAGACTCCTGTTCAGCCCTCCTGGCAGAGACTCTTGAGACCTTTTATTTGGCCACACTGCAACTTTGTCTTGTGACCAGACACTGCAGCACTCAGTGGAGGGGGAGGAGTCACCCACAGGCCTGGTGAGCTCTGGTGCTGCCCGTGAGAGCCAATTTCCTCCACAACCAGAAAACCCTCCCCAGGAACTCAGGGTATCAGAAGCAGACTTGGAGGAGTCACGGGGTTAGACCTTCAGAGCCCAAACCAGAAATGCAGATTCCTTCCTTTGTTGAGGTCTTTGATAAATTTATTTTATTACTCATCCCTGAGCCCCACCCCCATCCCCACCCACCCCCCCATTGTGTTTATTCCAGTACTTCTAAAATCCAGGATGACATTCTATGCCTCCCTGGAGAGTTTCCAGTATGAATAAAGCCTGCCACTACCTGGGTTTTATGCTTTCATTGATGTCTTTAGGAAAACCAGCGTCACAGTTAAACACAGCAGACCATTTTTGTGACCTTGGGCTAGTATTTAGTCTGTGTGTACTGTTTTCACACTCAGATGTAAACAATGAATGGAATTCTCTCATCTTTCCCATCTCCTACCAAGCTTTAATTCTCAGTTTCGACTTGCAATCTCTTGCCCCCAGTAACAGGAGTCTAAAACCTCATCATCTGGGGCCTGTAGAGTTGGCTCTTCCAGAGGAACTGGGTTCAAATCCCAGCACACACACATGCAACTCAACACTATAACTCCAGGATTTAACACTCTCACAGAGACATATCTACAGGCAAAACACCAATCCATATAAAAATAAATAAATAAATAAATAAATAAAGAGAAAGACATAACTGGACTTAAAAAAAAAATAAAATAAAACCCCCTCATCCAGGTCCTAGCCATTAAATACGACCTTCAGAGGCCCTGTAGGAAGGAAGCAGTAAAGTGTTAGCTGACACTGAGCTCTGCTTCTGGGAAAGTTACCAAGGCCTTTCTTCAGCCTTCCCTGGTTTGCACTATGGAACGAGGTAAAGTTTTCACAAGGTCATCCTTGTAGAAAGCCAGACAGAAGTCCCCAGCAAGAAGAGTTCTGTGTCTTGCCATCTGCTTTGTCTCATGCATGCCCTTGACTAACGGCTCCCAAGACCAGATGAATAGAAATGGCACCAACACAGGAAATGAAAATAGGGAGAAGTACTCCTTGGGTCTGTATTCTAAGCAGCCTGACATTCAGAATCTAATAACGTTTTGCATACAGTGAACCTTCCTAAGCATGCCACTATTAGGTTCTGCCGTGGAGAAAGACGTGTGCAAAATAATTTGAGCAGAAACTGTAACTATCTCTTCAGGGTCATGTGTGCGTGCTTTGGCTCATTCACCAGCTTAGACACATGCAGCCCTTTTCCCAGGGTGTTGCTCGCCTGATCCTCATAACCGGAGGAGGGGCAGGTAGGGAGTCCAGTTCTGTCCCAGTGCTCTTCCTGAGGGAAACTGAGGCTCAGGGTGTGAGAAGACTTCCATGTTGACTCTGGATGGGAGCCCCTGCCTAAGCCACTGTCCTTCCAGGTACAGTGTCTCTCCACACCCCCCTTCAGTTGTCACTTCTGTGAGCCTCTTTTCCCCTGAATGTGCTCTTATCTTTTGCAGGGCTGAGGCCACTCTTTGTGCCAGTAGGCAGTCTGTACTTGTTCCTTTCAGGCCCCTGGCAGCAAAAGCAGACATCCTAAAAGAGCAGCAATTATCCCTCCTGGTTCCTTTGTACAGAGCTCTGTAAATAATTTATTTGGATTTGAGGGTCTAGAGACGGAAACACATATCGAACCTCTTGGTAACCAGGTGAATTCAGCCTGGAACTCAAAGGCAAGCAGAAAACAAGTGAGAAAGAAACGTGCCTCTTTGAAATCAGAGAAGACAGCCAGACCTCAGAGGCCAGGCAGGAGGCTGGAGATGGCCAGGCTGCGGCAGGAGCAAGTTTTCTCCTGGCATTTAAAGGTCACCCAAGGGCTTCCCACAACTCTATTGTGAGCCCCCCATAGCAAGGCTTTTTGGACCAACCGTCTGTGAAGTTGAAAAAAACACTGGCCTGCACTGGAGCTGGTCCCAAACCCCTCCTGCTGCACTCAATACCTGCATCAAACAAAGAAAATTGTGTTTGCCAGGCTGGCTTGCTGAAGTCACAAGATTCCCAGTATCACACAGTGCTCCGGAATGCCTGTGAAACCTCCCGAGGACGGGAAGATTGTGCACCCCACCTTTCAGATAACTGCCTTTAGTACCAGCCTGAAAAACCATGTGATGGTCATGGACTTGGTGAAGAGGGACTGGCTCCCTTCCCAGAGACGAGCCCAAGTTTGTTTCATCCACGTGTGCCCGGGCCTGAAGGTGGCTGAGCAGCGAGGCAGCAGATATGAGGTACAGCTGGGGCTTGGCAGAGTGGGCGGGCAGGCGCACACGGAGCCCGGAGGTTCCAAAGGAGGTCTGTGTGGGAGACCCACTGGCCACACATCTTCTCTGGTCTTGCAAAAACATTGATTTGTTTGTGTCTTGGAAAATACTTTTTAAAATCCTTCAGTTTATTTCAGTTTTTGCAGTATGTTGGAGGGGTTAACATACTGGACGAATGTGATTGATATACAATTGACAACAAAAACCTGCTCAAAGATTTCCGAGGTGGGTCGCTGGCATCCACACCTGGGAACTGTAGTGCGTCCTATGGTTCCAACGCTGCTAGCCCTGTGAGTCTGCACTTATCTGTATCTAGGAAGAAATGCCTAGTTGTCTGCTTCCGTGTTTAGAGGGAGCATATTCATGACTGTCTTGCTCTAGCTGAGATAGCAAGATTCCAGATCGGTCTTTTAGTTTTTTAAACACGGGCTTTAGTTTTCAAGCCCAGACAACTTTTTGGAAACCGTGAGGACTTTGGTGATTGAAAATGTCAGCCTGAGATAAACACATCACCCTGAAAGATATCTGTATTCTACACTGGGTACCAGCCATAAGCGTTTATCTTTTCAGAGAGTAAACACACATGGAATCTGATCAGCTTTTCATCGTACATGGAATAAATTATGAATGACACTGTAACTGACTCGCAGATAGCTCACTTACCCATCTCTTTGGATGATTGTAACATGCACGTTGCTAATGCTTTATAGAAAGGTGAGTGTTTGAGTATTGACTCTGTATTTTGGAAAGCCCTTCCCAGAGTTCAGGTAAATACTCAAGACCTTTAATCACCTACACTTGGCAGTAGGGAAGCCAGCCTGACTGGGAGGAACAGGTTTTGCAGGGTTCAAGGCTAGCCTTCTTCAAGTTCCAGCCCTGAGAGAGTGAATTTTCATGTTCACAACAGATATGTAAGGGCCACAGGAAAAAATGGTGTTAATTAAATTCAGTAGTAGTCCTTATTCATTAATTCTTGCCCAATCAACCAGAGCAAAAGGTGTGCAATTAGAATATAACTGAAAGAAACCAGAGATGTTATTATTCACAAGTAATTAATCGGATGGGAACAGAATTTTATCATTGTATAATTTCCACTGTGGCTCTTTCCAGTCCCCCAGAGAAGAGAAAACTTGTTGAATTATGTCATCATGCATTTTACAATGGCGTTCATAGTTCTCTTTTAAACCCTTCCTAGTGAACACCCTGCCTTGCATTCCACTTTTCGTAAACAAGGCTACTTCACTCCTTCATTCTTGCAGCCACATTGAGAATAATGTGGAGAACGTGTTTTGTAGGAGTTTGTGGGGAAATTTCAAACATGCTGATTGCTATAACTCTGTTTCAGTGGCTGAACTGTTCACTCTCTTTAACAGCCAACAGCCTAGCAGTGTTTGTTAAGTGAAGCCTCGCCACTCCCCAGCTAACAGTCCAACCATTTGGACAGTTTTTTACTGAATCTATATATGAGACATGGTGCATACAGGGTCTGCTTTCTGGGCTCCCGGGCAGGAAAACAAGGATTAGGATCCAGTCCTCCTGGCCTTCTGAACTTCTAAGCTGTGTTTAAATTTAGAGCCAGGAGGCATGGATGGAGGTGAACACAGGAGGCCCACAAGCCAGGCATCTTTTCTGGTCTGGCAAACACTTTGCATCTTTCTGCTGCCTGGGGTTTCAGTTTATTCTGTGTATGATCTTTTTTTCTTACTAGAGTTCATATATTTACTTTCTGAAGAGATAGCCGCTTATGGCTGGTACCATTTACAGAATACAGATATCTTTTAGGGGTCCTGTGTTTATCTCAGGTTGACATTTTTCATCTCCAAAGTTCAGTAGTAAACATTTCAGAATTTAAAGTAGTCCAAAGCCACTGAGCCATTACAGTTATCCTCACTGGGGCAAGCCAGTACTGTTTAGATAGAAGGGAGTAGGGAGAAATAAATCTTGGTGCTCCGTTTCCCAAGCTGAACATACCCAAGAGACCAATTAATAGCCCAGCCTGCCACTGGACTCAGCCCAGTGACTTCTCCCCCTACATCAGCTCAGAGACTTCCTGTTAACCCAGGCTTTGGCCATGAAGTGACTGATGAGGTAGAAAATGAGCAAGGTTGCTGGGATGAACTCTCAATCCACAGGGGTACTAGATTAAAGAAATGGGTTCATTTTTCAATGAAAGTGAGTTTGAAGATTTTTTTTCTGTGACAAGCTGATGTCGCGCTCCTAGGAGAAACCATGAGTCTGCTTACCTGAAGATGAGGCCTGTAGATGGGGAGTTCTCTCAAACCATGATCTTAGTCCTTAGTGTTAATGCTTAGAGAAATTGCCATTCACTTGGAACAACAGTGATTGGTTAACTCCACCTCAGGCATGGTCCAGGTATATCTAGTCCCTTCTTAAGGTGCCTTCAGTCAGAGCCATGAGAAGGACCTGTGCTGAGAGCTTGCCAGGTGTCAGAAAGCAGATGAATGTGAGAATGTTGTAGATCCCTGTGCCTGATGTTTGCAAAACTTGGATCTCTCTTGACTCCAAATGCACCCCAAACTAATAGGAACATTGTGCTCTAAGGAGACTCTTTTCTGAGTAAGTGTTCTGTAAGGTTCGGAAATTAGCCAAGCCATATCTGGATGTGGAGAATCCCGTCTGAAAACTATGTTTGCTGTTCACATTGTGAGTATGCCTTCCTGAGATGCCCCATGAATAAGGCTCCCATGGCTTCACCAACCATGGGAAGGGAAGCCATAGCATTGTATGATGGACATACATCTCCCAGGGAGAGTATGTTTAAACATCTGTTCCACAGGATATGGAGAACCAGCTTCAATAGCCATACATTTGGTTTTGAATGAGTTATTAAGTATACAACAAGCCAAAGTAAAAGAGTAAATAACGATCAGCAGATAGAGAAATAGATACATAGGTGGCAAAACATCACCCAAGTGGGCACTCAAAATGTCCTGCTAGAATGGGGAATCCCCTTAAGGCAGTCAGCTGGTGTTCCCTGTACAGACTGTGCTGGGCAAAGCAGAATGACCAGTGATGCTTCTGAACAAAAGAACAAATAACAGAAAAGTGACATCACCAAGTCAAGGTTTATAAACATCCAGCAGAAACCACCTAGAGAAGTCCTGATAAGGCAGGCTGCTGGAGTTCCCAGTAGAACTGGTCCCAAGCAGAGTGGGGTGACCCTCAGGTGAGGCTTCCAAGTCAAAACAAACAGAGCAAATATAGACTATATTATGAAATTGGGTGCTCACAACATCCAACAGAAACTGGCCAAGGAGGATGAAGCAGTCAGCGGGGGTTCTCCATTGAGCATTCTCTCCATGGTTGGCCATCCAGCTCCTTCCTGCAGACACATTTCTATCAGGAGATAAGCAACAGCAACCCCTGTTGGAAATAGTTCACCTTCTCTCTGTTCTCAAGGGCAAGCAGTTCTGCTCATGGGCTGTTTTGTGCTCTCTGGCACAGAATTGGGGGTGGGTAATTCATCCCCAGACAGAGAGCCTCAGAGAACTCTTTGAATCAAACATGTTTTGGCCTAAAATGGGGTTGGGAATGCACATTCCAGAGTCAGCCATGGTGATCTCAAACAAAACATGAAAATTTGCCATTGTAATATGCACTACAGTCTCTCAAAAAGATTATTGAGACCTGTCTGATAATAGGTCCATGCTGAAGCTTGTTAGTCAGGGCTTATCTATCTGTCTTCTTATAGGTGACAGTTTTAAACATTCTCTTCAGGAAATGAGCTAGGGGAAGGTGTTATATGTAGAAAACACTATTTACCCAAGCCTCTTTCTCCATATGCTTCTCTATTTTCCACTTTTATTATTATTATTACTTTTACTTTACTACTACTACTACTACTACTACTACTACTACTACTACGTGAGGAGAACTTTGTCAGCAACACTAGGTTCTGGCTACCTAGAAGAATCATAGTGATGTTTGAAAGTCCCTCTATATATGTGCCCCAGCTAAGACAACTGTGACTCAGTAGACCCAGAGCAATATCAGAGCATCAACACTAAATAGCAAACAAACTAAAACAATTCCTAGGTGGTTCCTTACATCTCCCATTTCTCTCTGTGATTCATGATTCTATCTTCTCAAATATAGGAGTCAAACACTAATGGGGGTTCAAGGCTATTGTTGGTGGCATTAACAATTCTTTCTGTTACATCCCCATCTATTTCTACTGATTGATTTGCCTCCTGATTATGAGTTGTGTTTTCTTTCTTCTTCACATACTAGGCAGTTTTGTGATTGGCTTTTAGCTTTTGTGACTTTTGAATTGTTGGATGCTTGAGTTTGTTCTATTTCTGTAAACAGTGTTGCCTGGATCTGGTGGTAGGTTAAGCTGCTTCCAGCCAACTTGATCTTGATAGGGTTTACCTGTGTGATCTGTGAAATGTCTAGAGGGGGCGCTGGTGCAGAGCAATGGTTCTCAAATACCATGGCTTTGCCCCGTGGTAATGGCTGGAGACAGTTTTGGTGATAGAAGCTTGGAGGAGGATGCCATTGATTCTAATGGGTAGAGGTCATAGATGTTGCTAGCTTTTCTGTGTGTAAACATATATGTGCATGTTTGTGTGCACATGCATGTGAATATGTATGGAATCCAGAAGTCAACTTTGGATGATGCCATTCACCTTGCTTTTTCTCAGACAGAGTGTCTCCATCACCTTTACCTGAAAAGCACTGGTTGGCTAGACTGGCAAACAACAGGAATGTACCTTTCTCAGCATCTTGATTTCTGAGACAATGAGAGCATATCACTACTCCAACTTTATTTTTTTTTAAATATATATTTTCTAGGGATCATCCATTCCCAGGGTCACAATCTGGAAGCCACCACATGTAGGGATAATTGTGGGGTCCTATCTCATTTCCACTGTATTGGGAATCAGAGGCCTGCAACCCTGGCTTACAATGAGAAAACAAAACAAAACTGTTGTTTCACAACATTTACTATTTTATTATCCTCTATTTGTGGATCAAAGCAAATGCCTGTCCATATGGTTTTGGTGTTATACCAAGGAAGTTTGTGTGTGTGTGTGTGTGTGTGTGTGTGTGTATGCATGCACGCACGTGTTCATGCCAGTATACCATGGGGATGAGTGCATATGTGTTCAGGTACTTGTAAAGGTCACAGGTGAGGCATCATTTCTTTGTAGCTTTTTATGTACTTTGTTTTTGGACACATCTTAATGACTTGAAAGTTACCAAATAGGCTAAGGTGGCTGGCCAGTGAGCCCTAGGCATCCACTTGTCTCCACCTCCTCATTATGGAAATTATAATCACATACTATCATGCCTGGCTTTTTAAAAATGTGGGTTCTGGGGTCCTAACTCAGGTCCCCATGCTTGCAAGACAAGCTTCTCACCAACTCAGCCATCTCCCCATCCCCTCTACTATGGACTTTGATGAAGGCTTTTGAGTGACTGGGTTGTTTCTCGAGGTCTTGAGTAAAAAAACACTCAAATTTGAAGTGCTTGGGCTTCATGATGAATTGATTCATGGAATGATGAGGTTGCAAAGACCAAACAGGAGGCAAAGGAAATGCTTTCTTCTTTTGGTTGTTGTTGTTGTTGTTTTTGCTGGAATAGCATGCTGGTAGGCCCAAGCTCTCCAGGTTGAGCAGACTGAGATGAGGTAAGTAGATGGCCCTGAGGCTCAAGACCATCATTGAATTTCCTCTTTTCCCTTCTTCATTATTCATGGGCTGTTGAATGTGTAAATGTGGTGCTGAGAATTCAACCTAGAACTACTGAGCTTCACATAAGCTTCACAGAAGTCTGTGCTTTAAGCATGAAACCATAGCCTAAAGTTCTAGACCCATCCTTTGTATCCATAGACACCAAATATAAACCACTCCACTGGGAGAGCTGGTGTGTGAAGGGTGTGTGTGGGGGAGGGGTACCAGAGGGGAGAACTGCCAGGCCAGGGTCACTGTGTGTGAGGAGCTCATTGGAGGCAGAGAGGGAACAAAGGAGGCTGGTGTGGCTGATCCCTGAAAAGCCTCATTCATCCTCGACACAGCTGTGTGAGACACATGAGCCTCACTTTTTTCCCAAAGAGAACGTTTTGAGAGGCTTAGAGAGCTGATGCAAGCCTGTCACAGGGACACAGCTAGTGTGGCCAGGACTCTGGCCTCCTGATGTCCCACTCTGAGGTCTGTGTATCTCATGTGGTGCTCAGGAGGAGAAAAGAAGAGGCCAAGTATCCTCCTTGACAGTAACTGCTGGAGAGTGGATCCATGAGCCATCACAGACACAGGGAAAGTCAGTCTTGAATACAAGCCAGGGTCAGATGGTCGAAGGCAAAGTCAGAGTCTTTAATTACTCTACGGCCTCCTGCTAAGGACATGGTTCTCCATCACCACCTTCTTGCCTAGACCTTCCCTCCATTTTTGCTGCCCCAATTTCTCCTCATGCAAGAGTAGAGGGAATTAAGAAGAAACACTCAGGCTGGCTTGTTGTAAAATATCTACCAACCAGCAAAAGTCATTATAGAGTTTTAATATAGGCTTTTAGAAGTTGATTTTCCAAGCAGATGATAATATCCAAAAGCTATAATGTATATGATGTGTGTAAAGAAAGCCAAATGCTGTCATATGCTGATCCCATTGTAAGAATTCATCTAGACTTCTAGACAACTTTCGCAGGTTTAGCATAGAGATCAGCAAACTGTTTCTGATAGTGAATGTTGTAGTTTTGTGGCAGGCTAGATTTGGGTTGTGAATTGAACCTATACTTTATGTGCTGTGTAAAATGATCTTTATAATATTGGTGCTTTAAAAATATATGTGACATTTTCTGTTAAAATATAAACACTAGGGTTGGCAAGATAGCTAGGCAGAAAAAGGCCCTCGCTGGCAACCTGACTGCCTGAGTTTGATTCCTGAAGCCTACATGATGGAAGGAAAGAGCTAACTCCTGTAAGTTGTTCTCTGACTTCCACATGTGTTCTGTGGCATGTTCACACAACACCATGTGATAAAAACGTAAGTGGCGATAACACACTAAATAACAAATACTAATAACTCATAGGCCCATATCTTTTGGTATTTGGACAGTGAGTCACAAGACTATAATTACAATAATGGGAAAACTGAACAAGTTCAATATGGAGGCAGTCAGCTTAAAATTCCACATGGGACACTGTAAGATTCTAAGTGCTTAATAATATTGATTTTGGCTTCTGAGGCTTTATTCTCTACATGATAAAGATGTCTTTTGCAAACACTAATGAGGGAGGCTGGAGAGATGATGGCTCAGCAGTTAGGAGTGTCTGCTGCTCTTGCAGAGAATGGGGATTCAGTTTCCAGCACCCACAAGGCAGCACACAACCATCGGTAACTTCAATTTCAGGGGTCTGATGACCTCTTCTGGTCTGTTTAGGCATTGCACACATCTGATGCACATAATTACATGTCATACATGTAGGCAAGCACTCTGACACATAAAATAAAAATAAATAAACCTGATTAAAAAGGAAAACACTAGTGGAGAAACCATGCATTCTAAAGTCTGCTCCTATAAAACAAACACAAGAGTACAGAACTCTTGCAACACAAAGCTTGAAATTGTGTCAGCATCTTTGGCATGGATAAATTTATATACAACTTTCTTTTATGACTACAAAATAAACTATGTATCCAGAACCCACCATGAGCCAATAAATATGCTAGGTACTGGGAATGCAGTTCTAAAGTCTGCTTCCCATGTCTACTTATCCTCTGGTGGGCACCCAATAAATATTTACACAGAACTGTGAGTGCAGAGGACCCAATAAGGCTTCAGGGAGACACTTGGCCATCCTCCTCTTGTAAGACTGGGAAGGTTTTGAGGCTCAGTAGGAAGATGAGGCATGGGCTAAAACTGAGGAAGAGGCAGATGTTTCCGGCAAAAAGA